TCAAATTGAGCACATCAAACACTTCTGTACGTAAGTCACACCCAAATGTTTTATCAAGTATTGATATTTTTAATGTTTCCTGAGAATTTCTTCTTTTCTTTTTGAGGTAATCAGTGGCACTGACTCTGTAGGAGAGGGAAACGTCTCAATTTCAGTGATTGGAGAAAAAGGTTATTTAGTCAGGGAGTAATGAATGCCTTAAAATCTTTGAATAGCTGTTACTAGTGTTTCTATATGGAAGAAACAGAGCAATATGTTTACCCAGGACATCTTTTTCTGATAAAGCTGCCTTCCATGAGAAAAGGTACGTGTTTTTTACGTGGATACATTCACATATATATATGTCTGTGTGTATATGTGTGTGTAGGTATGTATGTAGGGGAGCCTAAGCTGATTCAAAATTGCAGGATGGATCAGAATATTTGTAAACTAAGGAGTGAATGAAAGAGTCATTTGTAAAGACTGTAAATACAGTCATTCTGGGTAACAGTTTATGATAGTGTAAAGTGAACAGTGAAAATGGGATTCATCCAACCAGGTTTAGATCTGCTGTGTAATAGGTGTCATGATTATCCAATAGTGTATATAAAATTATACATGAAATTTTAAAAACCTTTTAAAAGAAAAACAATCTTTGTTTTCTTAAAAAAAACAGAGGTGCTAGAGGTCAGCTATTAGTAAGCACCAAGAGGAATAAAAATCTAAGGGATTGTAAATTTCTCAGGTTTAAAAAGCTTTCATGATTATATATTGGATACGTGGAAGATATAAGTAATAAAGAGTAGTTAAACTGAAGTACACTTCTACGTAGTATTTTTGCCAGCTGTTTTCTTCTTTCCTAACTGCTTGCGCTACTAATTATTTTCAGACACTCTAATGAACTTACTAGTTACTTTGTAAGTGAAGTAAACTGACGTGAGCACTTTTAGGCTGACAATATCTCAAATTTGCCAATAAAATGCTGAAGTCATTATCTGGAGTAAACATCATTTTACAGGTTGCTTCCACAGTGCGGAATGTGAAAATAAGCAACAACAAACAGTTCCCAGTAGCAAATTATACCCTAATCTAGGTGTCGCATTTTTGTAGCTCTGTTACCACAGAGCTGTTACTTTGAGTTTATAAACATTGCACTTTCAGTGTCTTACTTCAATCTTGTCCAGAGTGATTCTAACATTTATCTAATTAGATCCAGTGGAAGAAGTGCAAAGCAGAAATACTTTCAGCTTTTAGACTTTTCTATACCTGAAGCCTAAAGAATCAAAAGACTTTCTGGCCTTTAAAGTCCATTGAACATAGAAGCTGCAGGGCAAATATTTTATAATGCTTTTCCTTCTGATGTTGTAAAGTCATCAAAATTATATCCATAAAACTACTTTTACACTACTGAACTATGAAGTACCTTGTATCTGTGTAGGTACATTTTTTTTAAAACAAAATTTCCCAAAGTTTCGTTAAAAAAATAATGAAGTACCCAGTGAGTAATAAAGTACCTGGTGATGATTTCATGTGAAATTCATTCCTTATTATGTACAAGGTTTTATGTATCTATGCAATCTGTTTCTAACAGTGAGAAACTTACTCCATAATACACTTCTGAATAAATACAGGAATTCAATTTCAAAGTGCAGAGTCAATGTATGTCAATTCATTTTATAAAGTAAACATAACAGAAATTACTGTATCCACAGTACTGCTTTCAACAGAAGTAGTTCTCTTATTTAAAGGCTTTTTTGATATTTGTCTCAAGTGAGGTTTTATAAAAAATAAATTAAAAGCAAAAGGCCTTCAAGGTGCACTTCCTGTGTTAGATAATGTTTCTCATGAATAAAAGGAAGGAATTGTAAAGTGTGATCTTCAGATCTGGAACTTGAATAGAGAGAGTCCACCTGTGCAGATAGCAACATCTTTTAAGCTGTCATAGTCACAGATGTGTTTGTAATACTGGAAAACTCAGATACCTCTTCTTCATAATTGCCCCCGTGCATGAATCCTAACTCAAGTTTCTTAGTTGCACTAGCTCCCAAACCACACCCAAGAACTGGTATCACAATTTATCGGCCAATGCTTAGAAGCACCCCTTAAATTGAATTTCTATCATAGAAAATCACTATTGAGTTCAGAGTGGCTGTTGTTGGATTTGGTATGTCCAGGATTCATGTTGATGGAGTAAGGCGTAAGGGTTTTGTTTTTCTTTTCTTTGGACAAGTCTCTCGGAAAGGAGGACTAGTGAACTATATCAGCATAAAAGAGAAAGTGCCACTGTTTCCCAGATGTATAATATAAGTTAGCCATCTTCTGTGATTTTATCCTGGTATTTTGTACCAGATGTGTGGAGATACAACTTTCACATCATTCCTTCAGATGAGCTTTGATTGTCTTCACAAGCTGAATGGCCAACTGTTTTTGATTGGTTTTCATGGTGAGAAGAGTTTGTTACTTTCATAGCTGGCTTTAGCAACAGTACAAGATTTTTTTGAGGAATTATAAAATAGAGCAGTAAATTCTAAAGCTGAGTCACAACCTATGTGGTTAAGGGAGTAAATCTGAATACTGGCAATAATGACCAAAAATTTCTGGAACTAAATTTCTTTACTGAGAATAACTTCAAAAGCTAATTGAATAATGACTTTTTGACTGAAAATAACTTGACAAGAAGGAAATTAATATTCTTTATTCAACTGTCAGAAACTGTTATCTCTTAACTGAGTGGGACCAAAACCAGAACTTATATCTTAAAGGTGTGGGCTTACCTTTTCGAAGCTAAAACGTCAAGCTCTCCTACCAGACCTCTCACAGTGTTTATCCATAGCTTTGCAGAGTCAAAGTGCTTTCCAGGTGGGAGGTGGTTTCTGATGATCATGAATTCCTTGGCTTCTTCTTGCCTCTGTCTGAGTGTTTTCCTTTCTCTGCTGGGTGACCTTAGGTGTAGACATGTTTCCTTGTGCTACAGTTAGTTCCCTTGCCTATTCTGGTGGGAGTAGTGACACAAACAAGTTGCAGCTTGGAACAGAAAAACCTAGCTGCTTCAGGAAGTGTATCTGGAATTAATGTTTGTCAGCCAAATCTTGAACTCAGCAAACAGGGCATCAAAGTGTGCTCCTACAAAAGGGTTTGCCACACTGATGTATCCAAGTTCCTTCCAGCTAAAAATCGAATGGCACTGCTAGTGATACAGTTAATATATGTTCCTTCTTTTGAGCTGTCTTTCATCTGATCTGCTTCCTTTCCAAATAGGAAAGAGAGACCTTCTTGATCAGTGGCATATAGAGCTGTGTTTATGTCATCTTTTGGTGAGAAAAACTGGACTAAATGCCTGTTTTCTTCGGAAAATGAATTATAAAGTGATCTCAGCCTTGTTTGTTAATAACTTCAGTCTTATAATTGCTGTTGTTTTTAACTGGGGAAAAAAAAAAATAAAAAATAAAAAAAATAAAAAAAAAATGAACACAACAAACTAGACATCCAATATAGCCAGTACACGCTCTCTCTGGTCTTCTGCCTTGTTTTGTAACACCCGGGAGTGAAACCTATTGGCATGCTGGTAAGGCTGAAACACTTAGCAATCACATGCAGCATCTGCAGATTCAGAATCATTCTTCTGTGTTTAAGCAATTCAGAGGGGTTTTGAAGCCTTCAACTGCAATAGCATGTAATAAATGGGATAATAACAGCACGTGGTCCCACTTGGCATTAATTATATCTAGTTAATTGAAACACAGCAGTAAGTGGCTAATCCTTCTCCTTCACTTCAGGAATTTACATTTTTTTGTGGAGGAAAATATGTTGTATAAGTTTTAATTATTGTTATATAGGTCACTGAAAGTAATGTCTCCTATTTATTTCCATGGAAACTACAACGTATACAAAGAGCACAATAACACAGGCTGATACAGCAAATTCTTAGTGACAAAATACTGTTTTTCAGCATAGTCATAATTATGAGCTATGCATTCTCACCAACATGAGCCTACCTGGCACGCCAGTGGAGGAAACCAACTGTTTGCTTAAAAAATGCTATAACAGCATTATTGCTAGGAAAGTGTTGCCCACACAGTCTATCTTTCATCAGTCTGAACAGATGGAGGTCAGAAGTTGTGAAATCTGCACAGTACAGTGTATGTTCTAGGACAATCCAGCCAAGATTGGTAGTGCATTTCACAGTTTTCAAAATGGTACCAGGCCTGGCATTACCTTGTTGCAAGAAAGGATGTCTTCTTCTGGCCTGACTGGAAGTGATCCATCTCTGACATCATGGTCCAACATAATAAAATTGGAGGCATTACTTTTGGAGCACCCTTCGGTTTTTTTGTTTTTTTTTGCTTCCTCTGTTTGTGTCAACTTTTGATACCAACAATATGTTAAATTAAGCTGAAAATAATATTTGGAATCAGATTCCTTTTGTTGCTGTTGTTCTACTCTTTTAATGGAAGTAGTATTCCAAACAGCTTTCTAAACTGGTTAGTTTGAGACAGCATTATTTGAGGAAGAAAAGGAGAGCCATGTACTGATTTCTGCCCATGCAATGGGCTGTCCCTGGAGTCCAGGTGAGCTCAGCAGCTCTCTGAAGCTCTCTGAATAGCAACTCTGAAGGTGCTATCTTCCAAGATCCCTTCCTCACTCAGATGCAGACTCTTTTGTGTTGTCTCAGGCAAATAGTTATCCTCACTCCAATGTGGTCACTGTGTTTGAAAAATCATCTGAAAACATTATGATTATACTTAGCCCCTTGTGTAGCACTGTGAGTAACTGAAGTTGTCAGTACTGTCTTATTTCCAGATATATGCAGTATGTGGATCCTTGAGTTGTTCTTACTATTTTCAGCTGTCTATAAATTTATAAATATATTAAAGGAAAATGGTATTCAGCCACAGAAAGCATTAACAGCTTTTGTTTCCTCTTGATACACACAAGTACATTCAGCTTATATGTCTGTGTCATTGCTGTGCATTTGCAATCTATTCTTATAATTCCTCCTCTCTCTTCTGTTTTGTTCACAGCCTACATACTGACACACTACCAGTTATGTTTCCAAAAGAGGAGTTCACAGAAATACACAGTGCCTGATCCTACTAGCCACTTTGATGTTCCTCCCTGGACCATGTAGGTAAAAGAAACACATCTATAATATATCTTTTCAAGTAGTAAGCATATCAACAAACAGCTGATTTTTTTAATTTTTTTTTAATAATAATGCTCACTTTGCCAGCTTGGGTTCTTCTGGAGTTTTTGGACCACAAACTCATTGAATAATGCTTTCCAAATTTGTGATGTGTTTTATTATGAAGAGACATGCAGCTGTAAACCGTCATATATCAATAAGTGTTTGGTCTCTATGCCACGTGTATTAGAAATTGCTGTGGATGCTAGAAATGCTGCAATGACTATCATTCATGTAGGTGTACGTGAGCTAACTTCAATAGTAGCTGCAGTGATGCAAATTTTGGCTTAGGCAAAAGCCCAATAGAGAAACTGAGTAAATTCTCAAGCAGTTGGCAAACCCTGAGCTTCTTGTTATTACAACTGCATAACTAGCTGAATGAGAGCCAGGCTGAAAAGGTTTACAGGAATGAACCTCTAGGCCTGTTTTAAAAAGAATAGTACAATATAATGCTTTTGGTAAGTAGAAGAAAGATGCTTTCAGATTATTTCTGCTATTCATCTTGAGCTTCTGCAAAATGCATCAATTTTCTAATGGATTTCAGATAAAGAAAAAATGTAGCCCATAATTCAGTCTTGCTGTAGGAAAGAGTAATTTCCTGGAAAGTGTATTTTCTATTCCAGTTTTGATATGCTACCTGGGCTTAGCTTCTCAGAAGTAATTTCCCCTGTAAAAATTAGCTTAGGCAAAGAACTAGATATTTCTAGATAAATTGCTAGCATTTATTAGCAGTTGTCTGATTTCTTCATTGCATGTTTAACTGTTTTGTGATCCAGTTGCAGAGGTATTTAAAACTGTTTACATTAATTATGAATTTGTAGGCTGCAACATTCAAATCTGACGTAGTTGGTGTTTTTCCACATTTCTTACATTTCTGTAAAACTTCCATGCTGATTTGCACTTTGTTCTTCGTTTTGTATAAATGAAACATACTTGTGTAACAGTGATCTATATGGTCTGTATTTACATTTGTAGGCACACCCCTTACATGGAAGTCTGCTCTTCTCACATACTCACTTGAGGGACTGTGGCACTGACAGTTTATTGCAATTGTTGCTGGAGTGTGTTGAGATTTCAATCAGTCAGTTCTACTTGTCTAAACTAACCTTCTAATCAAGTCATTTCAGGAAATCATTTACATAGCATGCTGGTTGAATCTTTATATCTTTGAAGCTAGCAACAAGCAGCTCATGTACATTCTAAATCAAGGCAAACCTCTAATTTCATATTCTGAAATTAGTACATAGTGTCTTGAACATTATACAGTTGACCATACTTGATTATAGTTGCTTTTGCCTTGTGTGTTGTGTTGGCCATTTTCCAGCTTTAGTTTGATTTTTTTATTTCACAGATTTTGAGTATGGTAAAGGCTTGTAGCATACACATATGTTTTCTGTTTAAGTAGTTAAATTGAAATTGTCAGTATTTGTAAGTGAGTTGCTAGCTCTAGATGGAAAAGAAATCTATGCTGTTTGGTTGGAGTACCCAAAATCTTCCTTGGGTTGTAGCTAAGGGGCCAGGAAGAAATTCCATTCATTATACTGTAGAGAATACTGACTCTGCGGCAAATGCTGTCTTTTGGTTTCAGAGGCACAATTGCCATTCAACAAGAATTGTTTTAATTGTTACTGAAATTGAGAGTGTTCCAAAAGGATTGGAATTAACTATCTTTAGTCATAGCCTAAAAGAAAAGTAAAAAGAGTCCAAGTCATATAATTCATTTCTACAAATGTTACAGAGCGCATCTCTTTCCCCTTGTAAGTATGTTTGTCAATTAGACTATAATATGACATTGGGATAACAGTGAGCATATAATAAAGTGTTATAGCACCAATCCAGTCTATATCAACATAGCTTTCTTTTTTCCTGCTACTAAGTTAAAAATAACAAAAACCATTCATGTAAATATATCTAATGGATTGCTTTATGTTTATGCTGTTGTGCTACCTCTTAAGGGATTACATATGTGAAGAAATAATCAAATAATGTTCTTTACTCCAAGGAAGTGGAGTAAAGCATTGCACAAGTGTGCAATGCTTTAAACAGAGTTTGTCAGTTCATCGGAACGCATTATATTATTTGGGAGGAGCAGCATTGTTTTGCTTAGCAAAGGTGCATTAGCTCTGCTGTTTAGGCTGTCAGAATCCTAAAATCTTACTTTGAATGCGAGGGTAATGGTCACTGTGACATGCATTTGTCATTTAACAGAAGTGATGCTTGTGCTTTAGGAGCTTTTAGCAAAAAAATAGATGTTTGCAAAGTTTGTGGTACAAAATGACTCACTAATGCAAAGTTCAAAGTCTAAGACAATTGTGGTAACTTTCAAGTCTAAACTACATCATGTCTGGTCTAAGAAGAGCCAGAGGAAATGTCTTGTATTGTTGTATTTTTACTTGTTTGCTTAGTTTTAGAAATAGATATTGATTAGAAGAAAAAAATTTTTACAAAAAGGAGTAACCAATACAAAGTGTATGTCATTTGTGAGTACACTTGTCACGAGTTTATGCTGTAAGCAGTTGTACAATCAGCCGGATGTTGCAGTGCTTACTTGTTTAGTTCCTGTTTATACAGTCCCCTTGAAGTGACTTGGATTGGCATTATTTCAGAGGAAGGATCACAGTTTAAACCATTGTGTATCTATGGCTCATGTGTTGAGTTAATGGGTCATTCACAAGGCCCTGAACGCTATAATGTTTAAAACAGATAATAAATGGCAGAAATCAATTTTCTACAGACAAATTCTTATTTGTTTCTAGTTATTTAACAAAGTCTAAGCAGTAGCTCCTGATAGTGAAGGGAGGACATAGAGTAGTGTTCAGCTCATTCATTCAACTTTACTTATTTATTTTGAAATAGAGTAGTTGAATTCCTTGGAGTAAAAAAGGTGACACAAACTGATCATTTGTAATATGTATCTTGAGAGAAAGCATACATTTTATACTAGGAGTAGATTTGTTACTTGAATGAATGATAGAACTATTTAGATATTTAAACTGAAGTGTACAAAATATATTTGCTCTCTGATATAATTCCCTGTAGGATCTAGCGTAAACAATTATTTCCTTACGTGCATTAAAAACTCAAGTGGAGTGGTTATGTTTGAATTCCATTCCCTCTAAAAACTCCAACTTTTGCAATGAAAATCTTTCAGTATCTTTCTTGGGGGGAGGAAGACTGTTAGTTTTCACAATTACATATTTCTATTTCCTTTGGCAATAAAAACAAACAAACAAAAAAATCTTGCGTTTTCTAGTCACGTACTTCACCAGGCTGGTCATGTCTAACTTGTAAGGGCTGACTAGTTTGCAGCTGTAGGTGGTATGTGAGATACAGAATTCAGGAAGAGCATGATTTCCATAACCTTCAAAGAAAATACATTATAAATAAAATACAATTCTCTAGGGGTTTACAAAACCATTCTGTTTACAATTTAAATTACATTAAGCTAAGTAAAATAGTACAGTAAAATCCTCAAGGGATTTAAGTTTGAACATTACACTACTTCCATTAATTGGAAGTATTTTACTGTCTCTCTAATAGTTTATTTTCTATTGAATATATATATACACACACATACATATATATGAAATTAAAAGTATTGTCCTGATAACAGGACTCATTCTTTCCCATTCTGTATTCCAAGTCTTTCTGTTCAGTTGATTGAAATAGCTTTATTTGCTTACCAGTCTTCATTTCTCACTACTTCATTTCTGGTGACCATCCCTATTTGGCAGATTTTCTACTTGTAAGCAAACTCAAACTGACACTGAGACTCTTGACTAACCTGAAGTTCTGGAGAGCACTAGGCTTTCTTTTGTTAGAATATTTTAATCTACTCGTCTAAACCACACAGCTTGTTTCTCCCAGGTTATTCTCAGAGGGAACCGTTATTCAGGGACTGGAACAGGAGGAAATCCATTTGTCTTCCTACTTGATAAAAATTCAGATACAGAGAGAATATTCTGTAAATATGTGCATAGTGTATTGCGCGTGTGTGTGTAGAAATATGATTTGTTACACATGCAGTTTCCTTTCTTTTCTTGCTAAAAATGTATGCCTATTCAGTTTCATACAGGATCTAAATATGGTAGTCCACTGTAAAGCATGTAAAGATAGAATGACTTCTAAGAGAGGATGATAGGATCAGTACTAGGAAGGTTTTAGAATACCTCAGAGAAGTACTTAATTCTAAGAGTGATTTATTCTCTCTTCCTTTTTCACCCTGTGGCAAGACATCCAGACGGAACTTGATCAGGTCATCATTTGGAACAGCAAGGAAGACAAGACAGTAAATCTGTAGTGCCAGACTCCTCTGATATTCACAGCTTTTCAATATGGTTATCTAAGCACATATAGGCTTACAGAAGCTGACACAGCTTATATAATAGAAGCAACAGTCCCATAAGGGATACATTCTTATTCTCTTTTTAGAGTCATTTTTAAACCAGCTGCTAATTCCCATGTAAAGCTCTGTGTTTCATGTAAATTAATTTCAAGTGATTTTTTGAAATGGGAAAACAAATCTTTCCAACTAAATGTTAACATTATTGAAAATTTAAAAAAGCGAAATTATGCACAAATTTTTCTCTAATTAATGAAATGTTTTCTTTTTTTAAAGAGTACATTTAGAGGGCAATATTAATTAATCTAATGCTGTATTGAATAAAAACTTACTTACCTGAAGGTTTCAGGTTAGCTTGAGTAAGTCTTGCAGGAGGGGAGGTTATAGAAAATATCAAAGCTTAGACATATTTTCTATTGACTCAGAACCTAACATTCTTAAGAGAAATGTAAGAAGGATTAGTCACAAAGGTCTAAAGAAATTATTTCTTCACAATATTTTTTAAGATTTTCATTAAGGATTAAATAAGTTTACAACTTCATTGTATGTACTTAGAAATCATTTATATTTCCTTTCCACTGTGTAAATTTATTTTCTTTTTTCA